ATGTCATGGAAAACTGAACTGTGTTGTAGTGTAACTAACCAGGTCTGTACTGTAACTCTGCTGTAGACAAAGAAGTATTGTATTAACACATGTTTTAAACACCCACAATCAGACATTATCTGTTTTGATATCATATTGTGAAATTCATAATAAAACCCCAGTACCAACACACTGACCAGTCACCATGATTATTATGACAGTAACATAAGCTGCTGATCCCAGAGTTGTGCAGTTGTATTGACTAATTAGTGCCTCAATGTAAATAGCAGTTGATGTTTGTCACAAGGTGCCTGGTCTGAAATTTGCTAATATATTTGCAAGCAGCAGATGTCAAACTACACAACGGATATCACAGGAGGATATCACAGCTTTTTTTTCTCTGCCTAAAATGACTAACTTTAGTCTTCATCTTTCAAGACTTGTACATTTAAAGCTCCATATTTGACACTTTCCTTGTGTTTTATTTGAAGTGTTGATCCATAAGAAGATATATTTGTGGTTTTAAGAACCAAAAACCATCTCAATATAGTTTTACATGAGCTGGAGCTCTAGTGGCAACAGGTCAGTGAGCCAATCAGAAGAGAGGAGGCTCTGAGCCTCGCTTTTGATTGGCTGAGTGTTTTCTGAGTGATCCAATAAAAAATATAGCAGATTGCAGGTAAACACTCTGAGAAACCAAATCTTGCAAAGGTTGGATGGTGGGTCCAGGTGGGCGGGGCTTGGTGCATGGCTGAGAGCAGTGACTGCTTTGTTGTGACATCACAAAGTTACAGAAGTCCTGACAGCTGGTTTTAAGGCTCAGTTTCTGAATACATGCTGTGTGCATTTCTCTGTGGACTGAGGCTTTGATACTTTCACAGTATTAATATAGAACCTAGACCTGCTTTATAATTAAAAAAGACATGGAAATCTTATACCAAAATTCTATACAATATGGGACCTTTAAGTACACATTCAGTTGGTCTCCTCAATCTTGTCCCTTTGTCTAGCACTACAGTTTGAACCAGGGAATGCGGTTTCATTCTCAGCAACCCTCGTCTCAGTACGAGCTGTTCTCCACTCGGCTGCCTGTGTCAGCTGGAATGTGATATTTTGATTTGTAGTGTGGCTCTGTAAATGAAACAAAGTTTAATTGAAACTGATTATCGCAGAAACTTAACAGCTCTCCCTCATAATTCTTCCAAGCTCAGTGGCAAGTTTCCTTCCCACAGTGCATGTCGCACATGTGCCCTCCTGTCACTCCTCGAAATGTTCTTCCTTTTTCCTTCTCTAAGTGCTTCATGATTGGGTGAAGTGCTCCTCATCAAAATGCCCTTTTCCAAATTGCTTTTAATGGCTCATGTGGATCTGCCTGATGCCAGCCTGCAACGGAAAAATAAATGATGTCGGTTTCTCAAGGAGCTGTTACAGGATGCCACAAAGCCAAACCACCCACCAAACTAGCAGTTAAACATCGCCAGAACCCTGCGGAACATTAATGCCCCATCCGTCATCAACGCCTTCAATCATTATTCCGCTTGTTTACGTCATTTTCGAGTTAAGTCCGACTAAAAACAAACAGCGGTTTCGTCTAAAAGCCTCAGAATTTCTGTTTGGATAGTCATTTGAAGGCTCAGAGAAAGAAGGCGTGAGTTCCACCGGTGATGCCTGTCGTCCTTTAGAAATGAGGCAGAGATCTGTCTCCAACTAAAGAGATTTACTGTGTGTTTATGAGTTCACTCCTTTTTGTCTTTATCATCCATTAAACCAGCCTTCAAACACACACATGAACACACTCGCTGCCTGTGGAACAGATGAAAAATGCTTCAGTAAGACCTTCCAAACTGTTTGATGTAAATATCAGGAACTGAATCTGCGTAACTGACTTGTTCCATGCTAAAAAAAAAAAAAAAAGCTTGTTATCATGCAAATATTGTTAATTATATATCATCTATGACTACAGGCTGTTAGAACCTCCACGTCCCACATCATCCTGCTGCTCGGTCTAATTAATACTGCGGTGTTGAACATTCACAAACGCTGCTCCGCACATGTCTCCCCACATACAAACTTCTGAGAGCGTATGTGGAGGGGAACCAAAAAACGCTAGCACCTGGGCACACATGTGTCAGTCTGTGTGTGCGGCATGTGGGAAGAGAATACAGAGGCCCACATGTGAGGGGGTTCGGTGGGAATGCGTGTGGAGTTGGGGAGTGGGAGGAGGTTGAGTTGTGTCAGGCAGATGGGGGAAGCTCTGTTTGTAACTTCTTGCCCCGCGAGGTTCCCTGTTGATGCAACCAGAGTAAACATCTCAGTCTGCGGAGAGAAAGTGACTGGGACTGATTTTGAGGTGCCCTTGAGCAAAGGATTCGATCCACCGCGCAGCTGACTCAGAGGCCAGTAACAGAGGATGCTTGTACTGAAAAAGGAGCGTGTGTAGTCAGTCTTCTTTGAGAGTAAAAGTTCATTGTTGACCTTGGAAACAGTAGTTGTATGTATGTCTGCAAACAGAAACACAGTTATTGTTTAAAGGAGCTATGTGTAAGTTTCGCTATTGCTACATAGCTAACGTTAGCATTAGCAGCTGTTTACTCACCAGTCTAGGAGAAACATCAAACGTCATTCCTTTACTCATCAACAGCTGGTGGAAAACAAAACCAATGTTAACTCTTGTCGCTATCACGTCTTTTATTCTACTTAAGTTAGCATGCTAACCAGCTATCCCCAGCCCGTCTTGTCACTGTAACCTCCAATCCGCCCTCAAGACGTAGCGCTGCTCAGAGGATGTATTATAATCGCTTGTCTTGTAAACGCAACAATGGCCTGAAGCTGTTGTCAAGCGTCAATCACCACCACCTGCTTCCAGCAAGAAACCATGTTTGGCAGCAGAGAATACTCACAGATATCCTCTTTAATATGATTTTCGTTTTTGTTTTAATTGAACTGACCCTTTATGATAAAGGGCAGTGGTGAAAGAATTATTCAAAACCATAAGTAGCAATACAAGAATGTAATAAGTGAAGGTCTTACACTTAAAACTTACTAACTTAGGTACTGTACAGGTGTTATTGGCAAAAAGTATCAAAAGCAAAAATGACTCATCAGAATTATGGCTCCTTTCAGAGATATATTATTATTAAACATATTATGATACATAAATGTGTTAGAAGCATTTTAATGTAGTTTATGTTGCCCTTTTATACACAGTTTAATCTGTAACAGAACATCATATTTTATATGCTGATCATATATTGTTTGTTGTATCTTAAACATTATTCTCATTAAAATGTAGTGGAGGAAAAATGACAATATTTTCTTGTGAAATTTAATGGAGCAGAAGTATTATAGAACATTGCAGAAAAGTACCTTGTACTTAGTGTAAGTACAGTTGGCTAAACTTATACAGTATTGGCTAACTATATACAGTAGTTACATCCCACCTTTCAGTTCACCCAGGTAACACCAGGGACGTGATGTTACTTGACGAAGGCCTACGACTAATGTTGTGTGAAGAGGTCGTAGCTCCAGCAGCACTAAAGAACAACTTTACTGTGAGTCTAACTTGTTTCAGCTTGTAGCCTCCATCAGGGTGTATACTGTATGTATGTATCAGCACCCAAGCAGCCAGTAAAGTTAGTGCTGACAGTGAGCAGATATTCCTGATATTGTCAGACAAATGGCGCTGCGATAAAAAATATTAACGTGAAAGGGTTCTCCACATCTTCCAGCTGAATCTGGTTCTTTTTAGATTAAATACAGCAAACTTGTGAGAGTAAAAACGACTGGAAACCACAGTGCAAGCGTTAAAAATAAAATAGCTTGTGATCTCACTCAGGAACTTTATGTTGCAGCTTGTAACGAGCACAGAAAACGTATGCTCATGAAACTTTATGAAATCGCCCACATTCTCTGGCTCTCTGTACCATTAATGCAGCGCCAATTCTCACCGTTTGAATTAAATGCCACTGAAATACATATTATTAAGCCGCTGAGGACAATAGAGTTCAGCTCAGCGGGAGTAAGAGAAGAATCAGCAAGTATCCAAGCGGGCTGTGTTGCGCAGATATGACTCATTATCCTGGTTCTACAAAGTCTCCCTCTCTCAAATAAATACGTACAGGCACACTGAGGGAACGAGCATTAGATAGTGAGAGAGAGAGAGAGAAAGAGAGAGAGAGGGGACGCGTCACAGAACTCAGGGGGAGTTGCAGCTCATGAATCATCATCGCCTGCTGGACGTCCGGCTGAGTTGCCCAGTCTGCCCTTTGTGTGGCCTTGGCACACTGCGCCGAAGCCGAGCGCTCCGACCTCCGACCTTGTCATAAAAGACCTCTTGAGGGGCGCTGGCGGCTCGCCACCATGCTAATGAAGCCACCCGTGAGCCACTGTCAAGGAATGCAAAAATCCCCCTCATAACTGCAACCTCGCGGAGCCTTTGTGAAACCGATACCAGTCTGCAGAGGTGACGGTTGTTGACTGTGTTGTAAAAGGCCTCAGTGAGCCACTCTCACCTACACACCCTGTGTTCATGTGCAAATGAACGTGGATTTTTTTTTTTTTGTTGTATTGTCAACTGGTGTGTGTGTGTGTGTGTGTCGTGTGTTGTGGTGTGTGTGTGTGTGTGTGTGTGTGTGTGTGTGTTTGTGAGAGAGAGAATGATCATTCGCCCGCATTTTGCTTCTTGTGTGTGTCTGCATGTGTGCAGTGGACTTGATTTGTGTTTCTACCACAGGCATTGTGTGTACACATGGGTGGGTGCCTCCCTCCTTGAATGCATGTGTGTGCCACGGGTTGTGTAGGTGGCGATACACTGCGGTCAGTATGTCACGCAGCCGGGTCCCAGGGGCGAGAGGGGGTCGGGGTAATGACCACACAATGATGTGCTTTATGGGTAATAACACTGATGGTCCCCATGCTCTGAGCCCACTGCCCCGAGACATTTAGGCTCATTCAACGTTAAGTATCGTCACATTCTTGCAGCGTCTGTGCTTTGTGCTGACTGTCTGCCGTCTTCTCAACAGATCGAAAATGTGGACGCCTGCCTCAGTTTCCTGGACGCCAGAGGAGTGAATGTACAAGGGCTCTCAGCAGAAGGTAAGCAGAATAAACAACGTGCGGTTTGAAGCCTGATTAAACTCTTAATTGAATCAGGGGAACAGCAGTAGAGGGATCTCCCTGTCTTAGCTAATTCTAATTTCTAGACCTGGAAAATGAATGTGGCTCCAGCACCACCCGAACCTTCCGTGGGTAGCTTTCCATTTCTTCACAAATATCTTCAAAAAACTGGTTAAAGCCTATTTCCAAGACATGCTATTATACTTCACAGCAATGGAATTTACCACATTGGTATCATGGCAGGGGTGCACAGTTTCTCCATCTCCAGCTTTCACTATGGCAGTGTAGGCAATCATTAGGGCATCAAAGTGGATTGTGGGAGGATAAAAACTGCGGAGAGGGATTCGCCTCCCGACCGTCGGGGTATACAGTACAAGGCTTATATGACAGCCGCGACTACAGCAGTGCTCTGTGCTGAGGGAATACTTGCCAAATTGAAAGATAAGATAAAATTGTCTCACAAGGCCAAGGTTTGAGTTACAGTTAAGTTCCAAACTATGTGTTATGATTATGTTTTACACTTAATTTGAGCTCAGCAGGAGGTGCTCAAGATTCCCTTAAAGTTCAGGAATAAATCCGACTGCCGTCACTTCTTTTCACTGCGTTTAAAGAGCTGCTGTCAAGCAAATCCCACCAGATGGGATGTGTGGCCTTGCGTCATTTCATGTGCACCGTTTGACACCCGTAGCCCACACCTGACCTGCCGTACATTAAGAAATAGTCGGGCTGCTATAGCTAGAAAGTCTCAATCTCTGGAGCAGATTTTTGTTTTCCTGTGAAAACCACATCTGTCCAACATGTAAACTTTTATGAGCTTAAGCAAACCAGCCCTTGTTTACAGCTTTGTGACAATGCATTTGTTTTTGATAATCCATTGAGCTTTTAAATGCTCTATCTATCTTAAGAGTTGGGAGAATTTACTCAACCCACAAAGGAACACTTAATCCTTCAGTTTGTCTGAAAACCAAAATTGAGATACATAATTTTCACTGGACAGCAAAGAAAAAAAATAAACTGCTGCTTCTCTGGAGCTTTTGATGAGCGTCAACCCAGTGAAGTAGTACAATGTGTATATAGATGCTAATGGGAAACATTATACACAGATCTACTGAGTCGCTGGTGTGTTGTCCTTTACCCTTGTCTCTTAGTCTTAGTTTAAAATAAAATCCCTGCATTATCTGCAAAGTGTCCATGTGCTGCATGAACATACAAACATGTTAAAAACATTCATGTAAACTGAGATGAAATAATAATAAAATATGTAAAATGAGATGAAATAATAATAAAATAGTAACATAGAAATAATAAGTGACATAAATAAATAAAAAAGAAAGCATAAAATCAGAAAGACATCAATACAGCATTCAAAAGAAGTGCTAGATAGACGGTGAGTATATACATGAAAGAACCCAAACTCATTCTCTCTTATTGCGGTTTTCTATGCGGCTCCACACGAGCACATCTCAGTTATTCCAGCAGAAAGTGTCTCCAGCTGTTATTTAGGACCTCCAGACCTCATGTTGTTCCTGCTCCCCTTTAAACATTAAAGAGGTGAGCGTGCCCTTGACCCCTACAGCAGCAGAAATAGTCACCCTGACACACTGACCGACAGCTCTAAATTCTGCCCGCTCCCCCCCCCCCCCCCCCACAACTACAGCACTAAAAACAGCAAAGTGACTCACTAGGCCTGGAATTTCAAAGTGGCTCTGTAAATATATGGGCTATTGGGTTACTCTGTCCACTGATGTTGCTGCTGCGTTTCATCACCCCCCTTCACTCAGTCCATCTTTATCTCACTGGCTCTCTGCCTTTGTCAGCCTTATTCTCAGTGTGTTGAATTAGACGCCCATGTCTTCCCGCTCATGTCTTGAATCAACTCAGGGTTTTCCAGATTCTGTTGGCTAGCATACACAGTCTTTATTATCTTTTTACAAGGCGTGGGAATAATAAAAAAAAAAAAAAGCGAAGTCTTTGATGTGCATACAGGAACCTAGAACTTACTTATTATAATAACCTCTCTAGAAGGCCCCTTGCATCTCTCTGGTGGGTGGCTATAAACCCGAGTTCCGGAAAAACTCATCTCGTTGAAAGAGCGTCGGTTCCCCCGCAGACGTTTCCGCTAAGGGAGGTTATAGAACTATAATGGAAACAAGTCCAAAGCCTTTTTTTTTTCCATGCAACAAAAGAAAATAATGCTACAGAGTGGTGACACGGTGACACCGAGGGGCTTGTGACCGGAGGAATATGAAAAAACCCAGATCATCAGAATCTGATCAGAAACAAGGCAGATCCTAACGTTACTATGTGTGGCTTTGATTGAAAAACACACTTTTCACTTTGATCTACACCATATATCTTGGTATTAAATACTGGGAGAGTTACCATGGTATTTCTACATACATTCATGATCCCCAGAGGATGAAGCCTAATGACTTTGGTCATCCCCTGACTTTACACCTTCTGCCACCAGCCGGCCAACATTCTCACTTATCCAGGGAACTATCTCAACGGGGGGATTGGCATTGTCATGACTCCCAGATGATGAATCCTCTTGACTTTCGTGATCCCCTGGCTTCACCTCTGACATTTATAGTTAAAATTGTGGAACTATTTTCCTTATTCTGGTGATCCCTTGACTTTCTATTTAGCACCATCATCAGGACAAATTATTATATTTATTATATGTATTTGTTTAATACCTTGGTTTATGATGAAATACCTGCAAAACTAATAACATTCCCATCAGCCTCAGCAGACTTTGTGTTTCGTGCTAATTAAAAATATTAGCATGCTAACTCACAAAACTAATATTCTTAACATTTTACCTGCTAAACATTAGCGTGTTAGCATTGTTATTGTGGACATGCACTTAGCTGCAAGTACTGCTGTGCACAAGTATCAAAACACCACTGGCCAGACTGGAGACCTGTTATAAAGACAATGGAACTCCTTCTACTCAAACTCAAACTCACGTATGACCCCATGGCACAAGAAATATATCAAAAGCAGCAAAAGTTTTACGACCTGAAATGTGATAATTATCCACAGGAAGTTCAGTCTACCGTTTCCAGGCTTAAAGAGCAGGTGTAAAGCCCTAAAACACACATTTCCTGCAGTTGATAATGGGCTACAGTGAGGGGTCCTTACAGCAGGTCATTAAAGGTTCTCTCCAGCGCACAACTGAGACCTTAGCGGAACAGGATCCTCATGGTTGTAGTGCTAGCGGGCAAGCCGCAGTATGACCTGCTCACCACAATAAAGTCTCTGCTTCTTGATCTCAGTGGGTGAATTTTTTTCTTTTTGTTTTAAATAGATCTGATTTTATTAGTCCACTTGTTCTCTGACCAGAAGGTGAGGCCTCGGGCGAGGGTAAGTGTAGTGTAACGCCTGTCCTTTCTGGCTACAAAAAATGTCTTAATGATTTAATTGGGGGACTCATAATTAAATGGATGTCAAACAAAGGAATTAAATCAAACTTACACAAAGAAGCAGCAGAAGAAAAGACAAAACCAGCTGTGCAGTTGTAAGGAGACCCTGACTGGACATGTGTTGTCTGGGGATTAAACCCAGGCCTGGTTGATTAATCAGGTAAAGACAGAATATATAGTCCTTAAGTACTCACACCACATTTGTCTTCTTCTTTGTGTTACCCAGCTGTGCTAGAACCTTTCCTTCACCTCCTCCAAAATTCCTCTGTGACTGATGAAATGAAATAACTAGTTTCCAAATAAAAAAAAAAAAAAAAAAAGATTGAATGAAACCGTGTCAGCCACATAAAAGGCCTCCAGAAGCAAAAAAGCACATTTTCGCTGAGCGTGAGCCAAGAAGAAACACTTCTTCTTTTTCGTCCTCTACGCTGCTCCAGAGCGGCGAGGGTCCTCCTGCTTTCAGCGGATGACGAGGTTTCCTGACAAAAACGTCTAGAGCAAAAGTCGTCTCAAACATGAACATGACAGTGAGTTCAGTGAACTTCAGTGGCCTGACCCAGTCTCCAGATCTGAGTCCAGTCAGTTCATAACCAACTAACTCGCTCTGACGTTTTTGTAGGACAAAAAGTTGATAATGAACATATTTGTAAAATTAGGTATGTGTTGCAAATGACCTCATCATTCAACCCTGTCTCCTAGAAATTGCATTTCTACACAATTAAACAGCAAGGACGGGACAGCTGCCAAATTGCCTGGTTGGTAATGTAACCTTGATGCGAACCTACATGTTGCAAAAGTTTCCAGGATGTAAAATACCGAGATCTGCTGTTCTGTAGCTGACTCTGACCTAGGATGCAGCTTCACTTTTGGGATCAGTGAAATATTTTTCTTCCTCTTCTCCTCATCAGTGTAATTTCTATTAATTTTAACAGTTGCCAAAAAAGTTTCAGTCCACAGCAGCTCTGTGGTCGGCTGAATCTGCAGCATTGTCTCTTCCTGAAGAACAGAAAACACTGCTGTTCAGACGCTCTCTAAGGCCCAGTATAAATTACCGCCTCTGGGTGTTAGAAAATGGAAAACACCCCCACGAGATTAATCTCCTCCAACTTTCACAGTCTCCAAGCAGCCTGGCCATGGATGGCTGGGGAGAACAGAGCCTCCCCAGATTGAAAAATGGAGTAAAAATCCCTGCGTCAGCCGCTGCCATCCTTCCTGTGCCTCTGTGTGCCAGCTCTCACTGAGGGGTTGATATAAAAAGTCCATTTCACAAATGGGTGCGTTAGCCACAGTGATCAATTTTTCCCTCCTCTGTGACTGCTGAATCCTACCTCAGAGTCTATGAGAGATGCATTTGTTTGAGTTTTGTCTGATGAACTGTTGAGGATGAGATTCACTCTCAGGACAAAGTGACTCATTGATTAGGAGCTTTCTCGCTGTCAGCGTATTTAAAAGGTAACTTCATCTGCAGGGCTGGACTTTCTTAGAGATCTGATTCCCCATACATGATTATAATCTCTTCATTTCTCATACTGCACTCTTACTTTCTTTGAGTTCATTTTTCAATATTATATATTTTGGTTTATTCTTATTATATAGTCTGACACCCTCTCCCATCTAAAGACATTGTGTCATACTATTAGATTTTGTAAAGACTGGGGATCTTGCAGGGTCAAGACTAGATTCCTTTCAGATTATTTCCCATTATGCTCCTCGTGGAAATTTTTTTACATAAAGTTAATAACTCAACCCTATAATTGTCACGATTTGACCCTAAAATGATTGTATTTGGACTTTGTCTTTATGATTTCCTGCTTTATTTTGAAATTATTTTCTTTGCCTCTCTTATGTATTAAATGTCGGCCACACACCAAACCACTCGCATTCTTGCACCTCCTCGGAGTCGCCTCCATGCTCACTGTCGGCTCAGTTTGCTGCTTCCTGTTTGGTTCCTGCGAAGGCGTCATTGAACGTCACTGTCTGCATGAATGAAGACTAAAAACTGATGATAATATTAAACATGTCTGATTTTACGGAACGTACAGAAAAAAAGACTGACTTAAGAAGCTCAGACGATCACCTTAGACCGACCGATCGAGATCACGGGAGCAAAACTCTCATGATTTTATTTTGAAATTGGAAATTTGGTGTGAGGCCAACATTATTTCATTTTGTTTGTGATGTAGACAGTGAAATCAGCTGTTATCGTTTACTTTTCATCTAATCCATTTACATAAAATGTGTCACTTCTCTTAGTGTCCCGCCACTATACCAACACCACCTGTACATGCTCTATCAGTTCCTCATCTTGTGGCAAAAGCAGAACCGTTAATGAAGTTTCTGTTGATTATTTTTGGCTGTTTGGCCTCAGATTTACCCTTACACCAGACCTCTGCCAGCTACACACCAGTCCACAAGTTCACATGCTGAGCTACACTCCTAAATTACCCAGCTGCGTGTTTGTTCTTGTATGTGAGCAGATGCTTTAGTTTGGATCTACAACTGTTTGTTCTTGTCAGAGTAAGTGTGACTTCGTGAGGAACACAATTAAGAGTTAAGGCTATAACTCTGCATAATGATATACAAGATATCAATATCTACACTAAGGTGTAATTACTCTTATAAAAACTTTTATGCTTGTTGCTGAACAGCTGCACTTGAGCTCAATCCTCAAGTGATTTCTTTTTTTTAAAGTCAACACATGTTCACTTTATAGTGTTTGAAATACACAACAAATGGTCTGGAAAATACTCATTTTTTAGCGTCACAGTCAGCTGCTTTATTGTGAGACAAATGAAAAACAAGTTCTGCAGCATTTTCGCCTGCAAAAAAAAAAAAAAAAAAGATTTTATTCCCAAAAAAATGACTGGAGACTGGATGCAGGTTGTAAATCATTACATGCTGTAGTAGTGAATGAAAAATGCAGGATGAATTCATATGACGGGCTCTCTTTTGTTCCTCCAGAGATCAGGAATGGCAACCTAAAGAGCATCCTGGGCCTCTTCTTCATCCTGTCGCGCTACAAGCAGCAGCAGCAACAGCAGCAGCAGTACTACCAGTCCCTGGTGGAGCTCAGCCAGCAGACCAGCAGCACCGCACCGTCCACCAGCAGCCACAAGACACAAGAGATGCAGTCCAGGTATGTTACGCCGTAGAAGCTACATGTGGTTGTGCTACGGTAGTTCGGTGTTGGTTTGTGTCTCATTTGGGGCAGAGGTAGCCGAGAGGTCAGAGAGGCAAGCTCATGTCACTGGTTTGAATTAGTGAACCAATTATGATTTAGGATGCATGTTGGAGTAGAGGTCGACTGATTTATCGCTTTTGGATGCTTAATTAGGTCCAGTTAGAGCTTTTGTAAACAGGAAATTGATGGATATGAGCGGCTCGCAGTGGGAATGAGTAACAGCCTTCATGGAAGATGTTTCTCATTAAAAGCTCACAGGGCTTTTGCTGCATCAGCTCCATAAGGACATTTTGACAGAGACGAGTCAAGGGTAGAGAAGTCGCATTACATTTTTTATGTCCTTGCCTCACATTGTATAGGAAATACGCTTAATCACTCCCTGGTAGAGAGATAAGTTTGATGCAACTCACATATTTGTCCTTGAAATGTAAAGCTACAGCTAGCAGGATGTTAGCTTAATTTGGGATTAAGATTTGCAAGCGGGGGGGGGGGCAGGGAGCCTGGCTCTGTCTGAAGGTCACAAATCCACCTATAGGCACCTTTAAAGTTTATTAATTTACTGAAAATACATACATAATCCCTCAATGTTACACTTCAGTTTTTGTACAGATTCAACTACATGTTAATTAGTGAGCTTTAGAGGCGCTGGTCAGCAGATTTTCTTACCTCTGGACAGAAAAAAAGCGGAAAAAAATGGATAATGCAATCCGCAGGAATACCTTGACATTTTAGGAAATAGGTTAATCTGTTTTCTTGCTCAGAGTTTGATGAGATAAAACTCTCACATCTAGCTGTTAGTGTCAGGAGGTCATTTAGCTTATCTTAGCGTAGCATAAGCAGCAGAAGCAACTAGCACCACGGTCTGGATATTGAAGCAGGAACCATTAACAGTGGCAAACTCACACTGATAACAAAGAAAACACATCTCCGTTTGGGTACTGTTTAAACAACCGTGACACAACATTGTAGTTAGTGAGCTTTAGAGGTGTTGGTAAGTTAGTGGTTGGTAGGTAGGCTAGCTGTTTCCCACGACTTCCAGTCTTTATGCTAATTAAGCTAAGCTAACCAGTTGCTGTCTTTAGCCTCATGTGTAACAGACAGATATGAGAGTGGTAGCTGCTCCAACTTAACAAAAAATAACATAACATTATAGTGAAAAGCAAAGTATCGCCAGTTGTCTGGGTCAGGAAAAAGTCATAAAAAGTCATTGAATGTGCGCACTATAGGCTACAGTACTGGACATTTAACTCAATGTAAGGGATGGTGAATTGCCTTAATATGTGTGTTGTACAGTAGTGTTGGCTCACAGGCAGCTAAGCAGTAAAAGCAAAGCTCTGTCCCTGTGTGATGTAAATAGACAGAGCAGCCATTAGAGTAGCATCTAAAGGAAGGCCTGACATGCCACACATGAGCAGCATTCCCCCTGACTGGATCAAGTTTCGGCCGTGCTGTGTGTGTCTGTGTGTGTGTGTGTGTGTGTGTGTGTGTGTGTGTGTGTGTGTGTGTCTGTGCCAGTGTATGTGCGTAAAATCGGTGCAATGAGAGCGAACAGTCTTAGTAAGATGATATTGTCGAGAGATTTAGCCTTACTGTGTTTGGACGAGTTAGGAAATGGTGGCGGTGAGGTCAGTGTATCGTGTATGTGTATGTGTGTGTGTGTGTGTGTGTGTGTGTGTGTGTGTGTGTGTGTGTGTGTGTGTGTGTGTGTGTGTGTGTGTGTGTGTGGCAGGGTTATTAGGGGCACAGCTGCCTCCCATTCCCACCCTCCTGTACCCCCTCCCCACCCTTACCCCACACAACAGGTGGAGAACACTCACACACATACACACCAAACAGCGAAGTTCGAAAACACACCGCTGCATCAGTCCAGCTACAAAAACATGCCAAACGAATACACACACACACACACACACACACACACACACACTCATGAAGCCATTACAGAAGCTGTTCTTTTCTACTGTAAACAAATACAAGGGTGTGTCCGGGAGATATTTAAGGAGCTGGAACGTTTAAATTCATGAAGGAATCTCTCAGTTCATTTCCAGATAGACCCTCTGCCCTCGCTGTCCACAGCCTCAGTAATGCCTCTCTGCCCTGGGCTGATAAGTTCATCACATCTGAATGCTTAAGGCCACAGTGGAGGTCAGAGAATCAGTCCATGTCTGTCAGTGATAAAGTAAGCCATTAATCTGTGAGTGGACCGTTCAGCCTCTCTCTGTAGCACAAGAGAGTCTGGAGAGGTTTAATGAGTCTACAGGAGAGAGAAATCAGGAAACGTTGCTCTCACGTGATCACACATACTGCGTGAAGTACAATCACAAACTCTGTCCCACAGTGATGGCTAGAGTCGCTGACGATGACAACTCACTGTCAGTTTAAATCTCTTAAAGTGGCTAAATGTGAATGAGCATTCACTCATTCATACCTGGTTTAACAGTCTCTGGAGTGTGTGTGCGTGTGTGTGTTTGAGGTGGAATGAGCCAGCTGATCATGAGTGTGTGAGTCAAACGTCAGACACAGATGATTTGCGACCATGTGTTGCTCTTGAGTGTTGCGTCCCATGCTCTTTGTTGCTATGGGAAGAGCTCACATTGCAGTGGCCTTTTTATATTCGAAAAGGAAAAATCTGCCTAAAATTCTTATTTGGGATTCTGAAATGCTTTAACATCTTAGTGTCATTAAAAACTCTTACAAAATATTTAAAGCCGTAACACTTTATTTTGAATTCTGTGATAAAAGATGCACAATGCATCTACAGTATCTGTATTTCATTGAATAATGCAGCCATGAAAACATGTAATAATGGGCATGAACATTTAACCCATTGTGCAGATGATATAGCTTTAATGAAGAGCTGGAACGAGCTGTTCATAATCATTGATAATGTTTTGTTTTTTTTTTGTTTAGTGTTACACTTTTCTTTTGCACACAGGAAACATACACAAGAGTTGGTTCCATTATCCAGTTCCATTTTTAGATCCGGTTCCAAATTGGTTAAATGCCCGGAAACATTAAGGTACATGAACAACAACTCCCCCATCAGACCACTTTTTCCACCTACGCGTTAGTTATAGTTGAATCCATCAAGTTCAGCGTATCCAAAAGCATTGTGTGCATTGTAGATGAAGCAGGTTACACTTACAACCATAGCTTAGATTTCTGAGCTGCAGTGAATCCCACACATTCACGCCATCCATGTGAAGGTAGATGTTTTATGCCTGCTTAGATCTGATGCATTTCAGAACTGTGTTACATTACATACTGTATATGTGTCAAACATGGTTGCTCCTAAACTCTTGCTTGGTGTATCTTTATGAAACTGAGTAAGTTTGCTTTCTGCGCACTTTTCAGATTGTACATTGTCATCTTAAAACTATATTAAAGGTTTTGTAATGTTCTTTTGTTTGAGGCTTCATGCCTGACTCCTGGTGCAACGCTCCTCTCCCTTTTCACCCACTATTCAAAACACTGAGATGTAATTAAATCTATTCATAAAATTTTTTTCTAATTCTAATTTTCCACAATGATGAATTCCTGTAAGCTCCAGTCGACCCTGAAGATTTAGCATGTCTGAGTAACTTCACAAAATATAAGATAAGCTGGGAGAATGGATGTTTTAAATTAAAAATGTTAAGCTTTTCAAATGATCAAATTATCTGTCTCACAGATTTACACAGAGACACACGCTCCCACTCGCTCCCACACGCTCACACATTTGGTCTACTGCACATCTACAGTTGTGGTATGGGGAGCTTTCTATAGACAGCACCTGCTGGCCTAACTGGTGTCTCTGGGACAGGGAATGGGATGTGTGCGACTCAGTGTGTGTGTGTGTGTGTGTGTGAGCGTGTGTGTGCAGGGGGGGGGGGACTCCCCATTGGACAGATCGCGACAGCCCGGAGCCACAGGAGGTTTTCAGAGCTCTAGAAGGCAGGGGGGCCCGGGCCTGGCAGGGCACAGTAATACCCTCCCTCTTTAACTCACCATGTCCCGGGGCGAACAAGTTGACCCCCTGGTCTGGCGCTCCTCACGCCTGCCCACCGCCGTGTCTCGCGACAGGAAGAGCCGTTTGCCTTATGGGAGAGCCAACAGCCTGGCCAAGCCTGACTCGTCTCCTAGGTACAGTCTCAGCCTGAGCAGCGAGTGTGTGTTTTTGTGGTCGAGTCCAGGGGACGGAGTTGGGATCATTTTCACATGGTGATATGAGGAGGATGGAATAATGTTAGTGGCATCATGAACTGGTAAATAGTTTGGTTCAATTTGTCCTGTTTATTGTTTCAGAGTCAGGGTCCGTCATACATCAAGGATTAGTGCTTTTATTGTTGTAGCTTTTATTACAAGCTGTTAACAGATTTGGATATTATTTTTTCTGGCCTTTCTCATAGGAAACATATGCTGACAGATTTTGGTTGCAATCATTTATTAGTCTTGCCATCAGCTTGCTCAGTGAGCGGTAGATAAATCCATCTTTTATGCTGCATGTATTTCTGTATTTTTGCTCCACTATTAAGAAGAACTGTTTGGAACTGATGCTCTTTCCCTGTTTTGTTTGGTAACTGTCTCCTCCAGACATGTTCGTAAAAATACATTTTACAATGAAGCAACATTTACTTTTCTGCTGGAGACTGAAAACCGACGTCATGGTGATGAGTTCAAACACTGGAAATGGCTTCTGTGATTTTCAGGCCTGAGATTTGTATTCATTCAAATAATAACTGTTATCTCTAACAAGCAATGTGGGAAGTAACATAGCATCATAATAGTATTGCATAGGTTTTTAGGGAAGAAGTCAAGGAGACTGTTTAGATGCACAAATTGTCTGCCTTTTACAACAAACACACTACGGTTTGTATCCTGTCTCCTACTAACCATGACCGGGATCTTTCTCTAACTTTAACTGCGACCAACTGTAACTATAGAAGGTGGTGACATGAATCATCTTTGTGACAGACATTTGTAACAGTCGCTGACAAGTGTCATCTAGCAGCTCAATGAACACTCATTTGGGTTGTTTTGACTGACAAGCTACCTATTTTGATGTTTAGGTTGGAGTTGATATATTGGTACAACAGTATATGTGTAAAATGAATGCCAGAGCTTCAACCATATAACAACAGTATACAGTCGATATTTGTGTCACATGCTCAAATGGAGATGTGACGTTCACGTGTGTGTCTGCATTCACGCAAACAGAGGCTAGAAGAAGGGTTGAGAAGCGAGCCCCCCCCCCCCCGGACATGAAGGTCAAATGGCATCTCATTACCTGCTGTCATCACACTGGCCTGAGCTCCTGAGCGCTGCCATTTTGGATCTAAAACCCATCAGTTTGCGTCTGACCTCAGCTGTGGCCACAGTCAGGCTTAACCTGATATTACTCACATTTAATAGGACAGTGATGGCATCCAATATCACTTGCACGTGTATGCCACATTGTCCTGGTCGATTAAACGGAGGGGCCTTTGATGTATGTTGTATTCTATCAAAAGTGACAGACTGCACTGCCCGCCCACCCACCCCCCCCAACCCCACCACCCTCCCTTTCACCTCCACCAGCACCCCATCTCCTTCCCCTGCTCCTGGATCCCTCTGTGTGTTCTGGTGTCTCTTTTTCCACATTGGAAAGATCATAAATGTAGTGGGTTGGCACTCCAGGCTGGCTGCTCTATACCATTACTTTCTTGTTTCATTGCATTTTGTAAAGTTGGAGGTGAGGGGGAGGGGGTCAGGACGGGTCCTGTGGTGGGAAATTGTGCACCGGTATGCCATTACCGTCATATACAACCGTGGGCTTGCTCCTGCATGAGCTGCACTTAGACTACTTTTCTTAGACTCCTGCAGCCTTTGCTGACTTTGAAGATAACACTTGTTCCTCCTTGCTAACAACCTTGCACTGCACTCCCTCTCTAACAAAGACAGAGAGAAGACAGAGAAAGCAAAGCAAAGGATAAAAACTTTACTTAGAGAGGAATGCGATGCATACATTTATGCCCGACCCTTTTTTCTTTTTTTTCCATCAAAATGCTGAAGAAGCATTTTAGAGTGCGGCTGGCTCCATTAATCTCTGTCTCAGCTTGTCTTTTCTGTGTGCTGAGTGTCATTTAGGGTATTTAACAGAGCACAAAACACACTAACGGGAGCTGAAATGCACTGCAGGTTGTGAGGGGTTTCGGGACGTTAAGGGGAACGTATTTAGTTGCCAGACACCATTAACCGACATGTCATGTATAATATAGTTCATTAATAACATGATACAAAGGTGCTTGCCACTATGATGGGAAACTGCCCTGAACTTGCTCCCCCATGTTTTCCGCTGTCTGCTCTGAAGCTTGTTAGTATGACATGGCATCATGGAAACCTACAAGGTCATCATCACAGGTGGTTTCAAACTGAGGCTAGAGGGAGAGAAATAGATAGTGAGAGGCTTGTGTGAGTGTATATATATATATATACGTTGCTTGTACTTATTACAACTCTGCTCACCTCCTCAAAAGATCCTTGTCGTTTACAGTTTGACTTCTCTGAACAAAGCACTAGCGCACTGCCTTTATTATACATCTGCTGAAGAGGAAATGATGCTTGAATAAGAGGTTGCTATGATATTGATCAGGAATATATTTTATGAAAGTCATGGTCAGTTTCTTGATGGTATGTCTGAGGTATGCAATCCCTTTCATAAAGTGACTCATATATTTTCAAATGTTCTACTCGAAGCGGTACTTTTAGTTTCTTGAGTTGTTTGCTCTTCTGCTGATGAACTCACATTTTATTCACTCTGGTCAGGGTGTCAGCTAAATGCATGAATCTGTTCAAATGCAAAAGTCTGATTTCGCAGTTGTTGGCATTTGTTTATGCAAAGCTGACAAGTGTGCACTAAAAGCAGAAAATGAGATGCGATGATTGCTGTGCGTCATTCAGCTACCCAGTATAGGTAGTTTATTGTCTCTGTCCACTTTCACTCACCAACGCCAAACCAGCAGCCCACAATCACAAAACAGAGAACAAGTTGTTCCCCCGTTGTCAGAAAAGAAGGACGTCTGAACAGACTGCAGTGTATGCTGCTTCCTCTGTGCTCCAGTTGAAGCTCTGGTCAGTGTAGAGGACAGTTGTATGATGGTTTTACTGTTGAACGTCTTCAACTACTGCGGCTCCGTCCTGAAGAGGAACTGAGAGGAAAAGTCAGGTTTCTATCTCTGTTCAGCCTGTTGAAGGTACGAGTTAAAGTCTACAATTAGCCGGAATTCTTCTTTCCATAAATGTATTTATTTGTAATGTGTCAAGACAGTCAAACAGGGGGACTTTGCGTGTATAAGATATTTAATGCTTTATTAGCATTATTGTGGGACTGAAGAACAGTCAGAATTTGTTGGGAATAGAATTTAGCCAACAACTTACCTTACATTAGTTAAGGCTACTGTGACCAAACTGCTTTTGAAATTCATCCTTCTGGTGAGTTTGTGTATTATTCCTGTGATCATTTATTTATTTATTTATTTAATTTTCTTTAATTACACAGTGAAGTACTTATATATTTCTGTAAGTGCCTTCAACGTAGGTTGATCTGTGTTAGTAGCAGCTAAATTTGAAGCTTTAAATCCATTTACATAACTAATAACGTTAGCATAGATTCGCTGAGCCTGCCTTAGCACTGCCAGCAATATATACAGTAGTTTGATTGAACTTTAACACTTACTCTTTATTTAGCTTCAGTTTGTGAGTTCAAATTTAGTTTTCTTTTTAAACAGAGTGAGAAAGTAGCAACAATAGCCACTTCTGTGATAAAGCTAATATTTCACTAGCTAAGGAGCAGTTAGCTTGAATGTCCATCAGGATCCCCTTCCTCTTTACTCATTGGCTGAAATACAAATGATACAGGTACTGATACTGATACTGATACAGGATAGTACTGTTTTTAGTGGGTTTTCAGTTGTTGCTTAGCAATATATAATAATTATTTCCCAAAGGCATTTAAGGCTACTAGCTAAAAAAAAAAGAATATACTGTATGTCTAGATGATAGAGAGGCCAACTTTCAATAGAGGGTCTGTTCATTCAGTTTGTGATACTCACATGATTTGCAAGTCATACACTTCACACAGGACATTTACACAGAGGAATAAACAGCCTTGCCACCTGGTCTTTAACTTTTCATTGTTTACAGGGTGTACTATGATGATTAAAGACATCTCTTCATTCATAAAGCACTCTACAAGTAGCTTAACTACTTCCTGTCAAACATGAGTGCAGCAGCCAGCTTTAATTCCCGTCTCTCTGAATGACTAACAGTGAGTGTTCGGTTATAAACTGTGACTGGTGCTGTGGGTATTTCCTTTGCCTCTGCGTATAGTGTGTTTTTTGGGACTTTCTTCAAACGGTGCCTCCACGAAATTGATTCTGAAAGTTTTTTGGGCCATTTCATCTCAGCAGCCCTATGAACGGATGTTACTGGCTTAGTCATACGTGTGTGGTAATAAACATGTGTGAGCCATCATGTGAAAAAATCAAAGAAATGTTTGCTGGCGTGCTCCAGTATGTGCCATGTGGTTCTTCTTTTCTCTCCCTGCTTATCTCTTCGTTTTCCTCTCGCTGTTTCTATCTGAATACCTCCTCTCACTCACATTATTACATTAAGGCATGGATTAAGAAAATTCCAGCAAGACACTGGTCTCATTCCTCGTCTGAGTGTGTTAACAGTCTGTCTGTCATCTCTGCTCTCTCCTCAGTCTCACAGCACGATATGCAAGTCCTCCGGGCCACAGTGGAATAGGGTCACCACAGAAGAAAAACACAAGGTAAATATGGGACAAAATTTCATGTAACTTTTATTTTGCATGCCTGCACACGTTTGTCCGTTTTGCGTGATGCTTTCATGTTTTTTTTGACACTCTGTTACCAACCCAGGAGGGGGGGGGGGGGGCACTGGTTAAAGGTCAGGGTCAGCTAGAGAACAGCTGATAGGAATTCAGTGTTCTGCTAAAGGATGCTTCAGCCGAGGGTAGCTGTGTCTCATGACAGCTTAAACCAGTGACTCACAGTGACAGAGCAGTCTCTCTCAATGCGCTTAATGTTCATTATTATATTCCCCACTATCTTTTCACAGGTGATTCAGCCTAATTAACCTTTTCAGTTTTGAACACCCGTAGTGTGACAGATCTTTTCTGGGAAATATCCTTGGTTGTGTTGTTTTTGTGTCATGGTGTGGTTCTACTCATTAAAGTCAAGGCTACTGCAGCCAAAATGACACACGTGTAATTGTGAAGGTGATTTCTGAGAATGTTATTTCCATGTGAGTAATGCGCAAGTAAGCAAGTGCTGATAATTACAATAATTACAATGAATTACAGAGTTTTATTTGAAATGAATTGCACCAAAACTAAGACAAACTTTAAGTAGCTGTATTCAGGTTGAAAACGGGGCCATCAAAGCAGAATACACAAACAATTAGAAGGGCACTCAGATCAGGTCAGTGTCAAACAACATACACCAGACTTCATTGGAAAAAAAATTCAAATTCACAGTGAATAATCTGGATCTGCCTCAGAATTTTATGTGTTCCTCCCAGGACCATGCCCCATCCCTGCCTCAAGTTTGGCACAAATCGGTTCAGTACTTTTGGCTTTATTCTGCTGACAAACAAACAAACAAATACATGTGAAAACATAACCTCTTTGATGGAAACCTAAAAGAAAAAAAATGTCAGTCATGATTTGATGACTAGTGAATGCTGTAGTGCATAAGCACAGCAGTGAGTCCTTTGCCACAAAAAGAATTTAAATTGAGGGTCACCATGCAAGGCTGCACACAGGTAGTTTCCTTGCACTTAAACCCTGTTAATCTCTGTCCTCAGTCCAGAGCTTTTACCACTTGAGCAGTGCTGTTCTGTGTGATGTGTCTTTAGAGAATAACCCTTTTACACATCTTTGCAAAGAAGGTTTTGCGAATTAAGCTGCCAGGCATTAAAATGACACTCTTTGTGTTAGTGTCATGTGAGATGGCAAATCTATCACACACACAGCTGTAAGTGTTCTTGCACAGATTTGGGCATTAGCACAGTACACACACTTACTGTAAACTGTAAATGTATATGACCAAAAGCATACAGATACAAAGACACGCTATACACATATGTTCATATTAGACATGCACCCACAAGCCTGCCCACACATACTGTATGTGCACACCCCAGTGTCCAGTTGTCTGATGCTTGCAGCATTTGTTCCAGGGAGCTCAGAGGCAGTGGGAACCAGCGTGCTGGCAAATAATTCCTCTCCAGCCGCCACTGAGCAATGGCAAAAATGCTGCAGCAAGCAGCTTCAGCCCTATGGGTGGTAATCTGCCCTCTCACAGCACTGACAACAAACCTCGCTGCTGCTGCTGCTGCTGCTGCTGCTGCTGCTCTGCAGAAATAGCTCACTAATTCCTACACACTGATGAAGATACGCATGCAACACAAAACAAAAAAAAGGTCAGAGGTCAGAGAGCATTGACAGTGTAACCATCCCTCTGTTGCCATGTGATTATGATGTTTTCTTTCACCATGAACTGCCTTATTAAGTAAGAAACTTTCAGCACTTCTAAATTGGGACAACAGTTGATGTATCTCTGTCCTGAATGTGTTGAAAAATGTTTCCCTCAAGGTGCTAAAGTCTAATGGGATTTGTGTGCTCTTTATTTTAGGCCGAGCTAAAGGAAATAACCTTTTTACAACATCAACTGAACTTTTTACTCCTTTGGGTTTTTTCGTAACAGGTGCGGAAACACACCCACTCAGTGTACCTACCTTCTCAGGGGAAGTGTTCCTATTACCATAGTTGTCCTTCTCTGTCATTTATGAAAGTGAAGTACACATAATGAAATAGCTAAATAAGCATGTGTCAGAGGCAGCAGGTGTGGTTTCCCTTGGTGGCTTTTGCGATGTTCTGCCTTCTGAGTATGAGACTCTGTGTCAACACAGAGCTTTTCATTTACTTTTGCCACCCTCATAATGCTTTGCTTCATATCATTGATTCTTATTCTGTTTCCCCTGTGATTGAACTGAGCTACAGTTCTCTTTGATGAGGACATGTGACCAAAATTGGGCTGAAAGAGCTTTACAGTATGAGTAAAGTGATCCAAATAAACCTATTGTGACTACAAAGCAACATGGGTATGGTTATATGCTGACTCCCCCCTAAACTCAGCACTTTCATATGCTCTCCTGACAGCAGCCTTTAAAGGACCATACCACTGTGAATTCAGGTTTTGTCTCTTTAAAGACCCCCTCCGATGAAAATCAAGTGCTTAAGCTTGTTAACATCCATATGGTGTTTTTTATATAATACAAGACATATCATGACTGAAATAATCAGTCAACACCATGACATCATTTTTTTTATGTGGGAAAACCATGTTAAACTAAATATTAATCATAGCAGAGAACATATCTGGAGAGGAACATTAAGTACAACTAATTTGTACCTTTTTTGTACATTTTTGCGGCTTTGCAGTTTTTCTTTTTCAGTTATTTTTCCTACAGTTCCATGCAGCCATTGATTTCCATTGATTTTCTTCAAACTCAATTAGTAGACTCTTGACACTTGTATTGTATCATCCATCACAGTAAACATAAGTCTGCACAATTTTTTGTATTTCAAGAGTCTGTTCATTGATTTTCATGAAATACAGAAATGAATGCAAATCAATGGCAGCCTGGAACGGTCCAAAAATACATTCGAATTTCTGAAGCAGAGCATGGTTTGTGAAGTGGATAGCTAGGATGTAACACACTGGTGTGGCCCTTAAAGTTCATCATCAATGCAGCAGGGGGGGATGTTGGACAGCTTGTTGGCCACCTGCCCACTTGTGCTTTTTCTCCTATCCTATTAAGTCTTAGGTGACCTTACTTTGCCTTGAAGGAGGTGTGAATGGCAGACCAGATTCCTTGCCCTGTGGTAAATAGAAGATGTTGTTATAAGAATTAGGCATGAGGTTGGTTGAATCTCCAGATTCACTGGCAACACCTTGGCAGGGGAAATGAATAGGAAATGCGCTCTCCTCTGCAAGAACCATTGGTGATATCCGGTGACTGACAGGCTGAATAATGCGATGTCCAGCTCCTCTCTTCTCCTCTTCACCCCACTTACAGGATACAGATCCTGCAAGCGAGAAGTCTGTCCTAAAACAAAATCACTGTCCAGAATTTACATCGTATTTCCCTCTCCACCACCATTTTGCTGATGCATTATCAAACATGTGTTTTGGAAGATGAAAGAATCTGATGATAAAAGGGACTACCTCTGATTTCCATCTGAATTGCCTCAATCTCTCGCTAATTTTCCCTCTGTTTATCTTTCACTTTCTCTTGTCTGAGTTTGCAGCTATAGTATCAGCTCTCTGGGTCTCCCCCTCTCTGCATCATGTTCTATTCCATTTTCTCACTTCTTTTGTTCTTTTCATTCTCCTTGTTTTTTTAGATTTCATTCCTAGACCTTTTCTATTCCCCTCCTTGTTGTTTGTACCTTTGAAAGCTCCCAGCACTAAAGCTACTATTATCA